TACTTTCTACAAAATTGCAGGACACAATTCTGCCAAGCTTCCTGCCATTGTGTAACAAGGATATGCTTCCTCAAATGTCCTATATCATTATCCTCATTTACTCTGACTCCTTACATAGGCCAATTTAATGTCCATATTTCTACCAACAGTCTGTTCATGATGGTTTAGTATTCTTTAAGGTGATATATATTTCTTGGTCATGCTACTCACTTCCTTCTTAGTCCTCAATAGCAGAGTTGTTAACATCCATATTTCTACTAACTTACTGTTTAAGACAAGATAGGCTTTTTCCATCATGCTTGTAAAAATTCTTCTAGTTTCTGCCCACTCCCCAATTCCAAAGCCATTTCCACATTTTCAGGTCTTTATTATAGTAGCACTCCACTTCCAGTTACCAAAATCTGTTAGGGCTCTGCCAGAGAAGCATAACCAGAAGATGTAGTAAGGTATTTATTTCAAGGCCTATGTGATTGCAGCCTGGCTAGACAATTCCAAAATCCATAGTGCAGACTGTCAGGAAAGGCAAGTTGGAACTCTTGATCTTGGGCTGAAGTTTCTGTTCACAGGTGGAATTTCTTCAGGAAAGCCTCAGCTCTGCTTTAAAGGCTTTCAGTGGACTGAACTCACCCGTCCTGATTACTTAGGATAATTTTGCTTACTTAAAGTCAACTAATTATGGACTTTAATTACAGTAAAAAAATCTTCATAGCAGCACCTGGGTAAGTGTTTCATTGCATAACGAGACTGTAGCCTAGCCAAGTGACATCAAAAAGAACACCACAGTATCCTATGTTATACTTTTTCCACTAACCACGGCTCTCTCCTCACACATAACCTAGTAATTTTCATTTGGATGTTGAGGCTTGAAAGGGATTTATTTTCAGAGATATCTTAAGAATCAAGATAAAATATTTTTCTTGTTGGCTTGTTGCACACAAGTTCTTCAATTAGCAGTTACTACTTAAAAGCTGCAAACTTTTTCTCCAGGAGGTCTTAAAGTTTGATGTACATTAAATGTAAATGTCTTCTTGCTGGAAATGGCATTGGTAATACTGAAATAATCTACTGCATTGCTGGGGACCAGCACTGGTATCACCTGGGAGCTTATGAGAAATGCAGACTCCAGGGCCCTACCCCAGCCATCAGTGCTTTAAATATCCCAGTTGAATTCAGTTGCACACTGAAGTTTAAGAAGCACTGGTCTACTGCAACTGCAATTGTATCACTTCTTAATTGTTACCCCTGGCTCTAGGTTCACCTTTTTCTTTTTCTGCCATTTTGTACACACCCAGATGTGCTTTCCTTCTTACAAATAAGAAAACATAATTTCTGAGACTCGAAGTTTTCAATATTTCAGCATGCATAGACGGTAAAGTCCAAATGACCTTCAAATTCTACATGACCTTCAAAGTTTTTCCTATTAGGCTTCTGTGTGCTTTTCCAGGTACACTTTTCTGAATATATCCTGGGTTCTAGCTACACTGTGCCTTTTTTCCTCCGCGCCTTTCACTCTGTACTCTGGTGGCTGTATGGAGCGCCCTACATGGGCTTGGTTGAACTGTGGGAATCCTCACTTGACTCCTTATAGGTATAAAGGGCCCATGCTGTTTATCTTAGTAATTGCACGTGATACATAATAGGTATTATTAAGGGAAAAACAACTGATCAAAGACTACCCAAAATGGTTTCTAGGAATGCTGTGAAGACTAAATGAGCTTAGTAATAAGCAAACATGGTAGAGTACTAGATAACAAGTACTAGGTAGCAAGTACTATTATAAAGGCAAAGTATAAAGGCAAGTATATTATAAAGGCATATAAAGTATCTCTCTATTTATCATGACGTTTCAGAGAAGTGATTATTATCATCTCCATTTTGCAAAAAAGGACATGGAGACAGGATGAGGGTAAGGAAATTTTTTAAGGTTATATAATGTGTGTGCATTAAACTCAGGCAATCAGATTCTAAACCTACATGCTTGACTGTATGGCCTCTGATTTATATAAAAACATTTTTCAAAGTCCTTTATAAATGTACATTTTAAGATGTATGTGGTAATTAGACATATAGTCAATAGTTACAATTATTTTATTTTTAAAAAATTTTGAGAAAAGATAGAATACAGAAAGGGTGAAGTGCTTTTAATTAAAATTATATTCAGTTAACAACAGATCTTTTTGAGTGTCATTTGGGTGGCTATCTGTGCTTTTTCACCCACTTCCCCTTAAGTAAGAGCACCCTACTTTTATTCTGGAGTACCACGTCCATCTACTCTAAGTTATTTGGTTAGGATAAGATCAACTCTCTCCCATCCCCTGTTTTCCAGAAATGTGCAGGTGACTCATATGTGGGTGGTTATCATATCCCAACTCATTGGCCATCACGACTGGTTAGGGGATGGGCCTGTGACCCAGTTAAGTCAATGAATTAGAATCAGTTTGGTAGTTATTAACATATTGGTTGATTGTTTAAAATTTTAGGGGTGGAATAATGGTAAGAAAAGTCAAAGAGGGAAGAGGTAAACCAGGAAAGAGTGGATTCATTGAAATCATTGCTTGTAAAGAGTTTCAAGAAATAATGCATCACTTACAAAATTAATAGTTGAATGCTGTTTATGTTTTTGAAACTACCAACCAAAAGACTTGTACAAAATATTTTATTCACTTTAAGTAACTATAACTTTAGTCATGATTGATTGTTCCCAGCAGGATTTATATCTGTAAATAGGCACACTATTGACTTTTTAAAAAAAGAGAAGATAAGTGATCTCATTATTTTCTTTTTTAAATCAAAGGTTTCCTTTTAGGGAATTTTCCCTCACTCAAGAAAATACTGAGTAAGTCAGGGTGTTAATCTGTTTTGCTCTGGTAAATCCTATCTTGTTATAGAGCTGTTTTTTCAATGTGGTGATAATTGTCTCAGTGATTGGTAGTGATTTATTTTTACTCATCTATCATTCAACAACTCTTTATCAGGCTTCAGATATACAGCAGGCATTGTTCCAGAGGGAATGAAATTCAAGTGTCCCCTTCCCTAGAATGTAAGCTCCATAGCAGATCCCGATTCAGAGTCTGGTGCCCAGCAGACATTCAGTATTAGATCACACTATCAGTGATTTGTACATATGGATGGGGGATGTATTTCTTTATTAGTTTAACAATGGTAGCTTCTGAGGAGACATGCTTGACTTTCAAGTATTGTTTGTGACTCAGACATGAACCGAAGGCTTGGGCCTCTGAACTTCTTTTCCTTCTGGCAGTTATTCTGCATAATGCCCAGGTTTAATGATACTTAATTTTAGTGATTCACAATGAAAGAATTAATTATACTTAGGATCAATATCATTTTGAATAATGGTGCTGGAATGATACCCTGATACCAGAGCAGACAAAGATTTTGGTCTCTATTAGCTTACTACTTTAGTGGCTAGAATTTTGCCCACAAAATGTGCCCAGATCCTAAACCCCTGAACCTGTGAATGTGACCTTATTTGGTAAAAGGGTCTTTGCAGATGTAATTAAGTAAGGATATTGAGCTGAGATCATCCTGGATTACCTGGGTGGTCCCTAAATCCAGTGACAATTGTCGTTACAGAAGACAGAAGAGAAGACACAGACACAGAGGACACGGTCATGTGAAGATGGAGCCAGAGATCAGAGTGATGCAGCCACAAGTCAAAGAATTTCTGGAGCCACCAGAAACAGGATGAGGCCAGGAAGGATTCTCTCCTAGAGCTGTGGGAGGGACTGTGGACCTGATGACACCTTGATTTTGGACTTCTGGACTCCAGAACAGTGAGAGAATAAACTTCTGTTGTTTTAAGCACTAATTCTGTGGTCATTTGTTAAGGCAGCCCTAGGAAACTATCGTGCTAGTTCATGCTGGTGATCTAAGGATTCTGTTGTGCTGTTTTATTTCGTAATAATTTGCGGAAGTTGTTATCTCTACTTCAATTCTTGTCTTCATCCAATGGAGACATTTGTCTGCTTTTTGAGATTTGATAAAACCCAAAGATTAGTGCTCTGGGTTTTTTTTGCCTAACACAGATGCCCCAGAAAGTCCATTCAATGCAGAGACAGGAAATTTCTGAATAAAGTGGCCTCAACAAGTGGTTTGGAGATCTAAATGTTCTTCAGAAAAATGACACTGGTCCTGGGAGGATATTTCTATGGGGGAAAAGTTTCATTTACAAAGCTCCACAAGTTGGCACAGTGGTTGGGCCAGGGAGCTAGGAGGCTTTGCTTCTGGTCCTACCCATTTCTGGGTTACTTTCTCTCTGTGCCTCTGATGCCTTTTTCTATCAGGGTATTAGTTAAACTCATTACTAGAGACCTTTGAAATGAACTCTCCCCGCAATCCAGAGTAGTACAACTCTCTTTACTCTTTTTCCTCACTCTGTTGGTTTCCTTCATGTGACCCATCACAGATGGTAATTACATATAAATACTTGTCTGTCATAATTCCAAGTTCAAAGAACATAACTGTACCAGCATATTGTCTGGCACACAGTGGTCCTCCATAAAAATGTGTTAATAACGATGATTGAGAGAATGTTTTGAGTGGAGAGCAAGAAAATGTCTATTATTTTGGGGTTGGAAAAAGACTGCTCAAAGACGGGTTGTTTTGTTTTCTACTTCCTACATCAAACACCACTGAATATCAAGATTGAAAAAGAAGTAAGTGGACATAGAATCCAACCCCCCACTAGATGCATGAGCGCCCTCGTCAGCCTCCCTGACAAACATGACTCGATGCTGGATTGAAACATCCTTGGTGACAGAAGCTCACTACCTTACCGCTTCTGATCTTTTCCACTTTGCTTTCCGTTCTCACGCCTCCCTATCATTGCAATCTTACCGCAGTATTTTGCACACCTGAGGCAGCAGAGGCCCGAAGTCTGGAAGTGGGAGGAGCAGAGGGAACGCCGGTGCCCAGCCCAGAGCCTGAGAACCACGCGCGGGGTGGGCGCGCCGCCGCTGACTGCGGGATGAAGTAGCGGCGCCGCCTGCCTGCGAGGTTCGCCTCGCTCCCGGCCGCGCGGCGGGCAGGGGTCCTGCTCCCCGAGCTCCTCGCCGCCCCTCCCCGGGGCCCGGGCCGAGCGCAGCGGCTTGTGCGCGGCGGCCGCCGCTCTTGCCCCCCTTCTCCCCTCCCCACGCGCTGGCCCGCGGCCCCTCCTCCGCGCACTCCGCCGCCGCCTCTCGCCCGAGAGCAGCTCCGCACCTTCGGCGAGGAGTTTGCAGCCGCCCCAGCCCAGACCCCGCGGCCGGCTGACCGCGAGCGACGCAGGTGCCCGAGCCCCAGCACCGCCGCCACCTCTGCCTTCCGCCTGGGCTGGACCTCGGCATCGAGGTGGGACCCGCTTCTCTCTCCTCCAGCCCTTCTGTCACCTCTTCCCGCTTTTGGACACTCGAGGAGCCTAGCTTTGGAGCTCGCGTGGCCGCCGCGGAGCCTGCGGGCCAGTTGGGGACAGGGAGTCCGGCGGCGCCTCCGGAGCGGCCAGTTCCCGATGGGGGGCAGGCAGGGCGGCGGGGGGCTCTTGGTCCCTCAGGGGTCGGGGATCCGGAAGACCCCCCGGGCGAGGAGTATGGGGCGCACGGCTGGGTGCGGACCACTGAGCCTGGGCGCACACCTGCCTGGCACCACCTGAAGGAAATGCCACTTGGTCAACTTCTCTTCCAGGTCTTCTTACTACTTTGGAAACTGAAGGGACTGCGACATCAACCAGTAAGCCTTGGGGCCCGGAGGAAGGATTTGTTGTTGGTTTGGACAAGAGAAAACTTGTCCACCCTCTCCTGCTCCCCCCAAGCAAATTTAAAAAATAAAGCAGACCAACAAAACCGAATCCCAACCAAAGCACTTATTTAAAGGGATTTGTAGAGGTGAGAAAAAGACTCAACTGAGGAATCACTTTGGAACCCCTAGGTATGTGATGAGGCTATCTAAAACTTGGTGATTGTGGGGGCCACTTGCGTTTGCAAAGATGAGACTGACTCTTGTAAGCCTGAGTGAATTCATTATATTGGGGGATTGCCTGCAGTATTCTCTGTTAATATTTATTTCCATGAGTCTTAAAGTATATTGAAAAATATATTCTTTCAGAGCTCTGGAGTTGGGGTCAGAATACCTGGATTTTGCTACGATTTGCTATTGATTATCCATGACAGTGTGGTTAGCTTAACCCCTTTGGCCTCATTTTCCTCATCTGTCAAGTTAGAGGGTTAGAGTAAGATTCTGAGGGCCTTTTAATAATATCCAAGATGTTTCCCAGAGCAAAAATTTATAGTTCTTTAACTCTTTAAAATAGTTATGCCAGATTCATAACTTCATGAAATTAAAAAGATCTATCTTGATTTTTGTAATTTCATTTATGTGCATTTATGACTTATGCTTTTAGGGTTTGCCAACCAAACATTAAAGAGAAAGACACTTATAAATCAGTTCAGATATATGTAGTTTACATGTAAATATTTAGATCATGTCTCACTCTAAAGAATCATGTTCAACTTTAATGCAATATTTGCAACTTGCAACAAAAACATAGCTTTCAGTACTGTACATTTGGAAGAAACAGAAATTGTTTCGGAGAACAGAAATCGCACCTTTTCTATCAATTGCTGCTCTTGAACAGTGTTATATTTTAGCGTAAAGTTGTATGCAGAATATTAAAAAAATGGTTTCAGACTACTTCAGATCCTTACTGAAATTAAGCTCAAGAGCAGAGATGCCAATTTTAGTAATATATTTTAGTTGTTTTGGAATGAATCCCAGAAAATAGCAGAGGATAACTAAATAGATAAATCAAGAATTAAGAATTGACATACACACACAAAGTTGTATAAGAGATGTATACTATAAAGTGTCATTGAAACTTTTATTTCCTTTCAATAAAAAAAAAACAGCAAACAACTGTTGGTTTGTTTAAATAGGCAAGAGAATGTTAAAATAGCTTTTGTTGTTCCTTGTAATATAAGATTATTTGAGATTTAATCATTAGTAGGTAGAACAGGTTTAGAAATGTCTCTGGCTCTTTTTTGGTGGCTTTGATCTAAAATAAAATAATGTGTTCCCACCCAGCATCTGCTTTGTGTGCAGTTTGGGAACATGGAATGGATGTGAAGTATGCTTTCATGAACACATTTAAACTTATTTTCACTGCCTTTTTACCTTTGGGCTGGAAATGTCATCAGTGATTCAGGCATTTTGTCTTCCCTCATAGTCTTTGGTGAAGCAGGTGATCATCTCTTTGAAACAGATGCTCAAAATGTAAATTAGTTGTTGAATGAACAGAAAGTAGTAGAACTCAGACACCCTGGCTCCTAATTGCTTGTCGGCAAACAGCTGAAAATAGTGAATGGGTCTGACTGCTCAAGGTCTACAGCCAGTTCATTCATGGCTTGGGAGTGCCATCATGTTTGGCAGAAGTTCAATTCCTCTTTTGTAATGAACTTACCAAGAAAAAACAGTCATGTCTTCACACTTAGATCACTATTATATAACCAAATTGTTTGTATTTGTGAAGTGCAATATCTCTAGGAATTTTGGAAATAAAACTTAAAAATACCTAGGAAAAAAAAGGAATTGTCTTGGCAGATGCTGTACCACATTTCACATATTGAGAACTAAATGCACAAACTAAAAAAACATGTCCTGTGGAGTTAAAAATGAACAAGGGCTTACAGTCTGTTCTAATTCTTAAGATTTTAAGTGATTTACAAATTCCACTTTTAATTAAATCAGAAAGGCACAAATGTTCACCTACTAGTCAGAACCAGTACCTATAACCTTTTGGAGTTTCAATTCAAATTTGGTTTGCTTACAATTTGGAATATTCCTTCTCAAATACCTGAAAACTTTTGTGACTCAATCGCAATATTATATGTTGTCTTTTCACACACGTGATCTTATTAATCTTTAATTTTTTTAGCACTTTATAACATGTACATAAAACAAATGCACTGGTTGATAAATAATGTAGCAAATAATTACAACAGATAAGTAAAGCAAATACCCTGTTATTCACCACACAAGTAAGAGCATCTGTCAGTACCCAGAAACCTCTTGTTTGCTTTTTCCTGATCACAAAATTTTAGATGAATATAGGAGGCATTCTTTCATAAATTCATTTGCTTAACATCATTTGTGTTTCTTTGCTCCCCTTTGAAGTAAACACTTTATTCCCTGTCTCTAAATTATCTCTTCACATTGTCTTAAACCCATTGCTGTGAATCTTTTGTTTTTTTTCAATACTCAAACTACTCCCGTCAGGCACCACTGACGTCACCTTTCCTAAATCCATTAACTACTGAGATCAGTGTTGATCTTACTTCCCCTGTTGGTAGCATTGCCACAGTTTGCAACTCTGCTCCCTGTAATATTTCCTCATTGACTTCCAGGGCATCGTGCACCCTTGGTTTTCTTCTTTCACTGGCTGCTCCTTCTGTCTCCTTTGATGGTGTCTCCTCTTTTCTTGAAGGTTTTAAGCTTAGAATGCCTTAAGGTTTAGTTCTTGGGTGATATTTTCTATCTACATTCTTTGATGATTTCATGTACTCTGATTTTTTTTTCTGCAACCTCTGTGTCTATATCCTCATGACTCCAAAATGGTAGCTCAAGCCTGGACTTCTCTCTATAAACTTCAGATCTCTATATCCAGCTGCCTGTTTACCATTCCCATTGGATGTCCAGTAGACATCTCGGTCCATATACTCCAAATGGAATCTTCATCTTGCCTAAGCCCACTCTACCTGCAGTCTTCCCCATCTCTGTCTTTCAAGTTGCTCAGGCCTGAAATCTTGGATTCATCCTAATTTCTCCTATCCCCTCACACCTCAGATGTTATGTGTCAGGAAAGACTCTTTTGTTCTACCTTGGAAGTAAATCCAGTATATAATTACTCTCATCACCTCTGTGGTTGCTACCCTGGTCTGAGCTACCATCATATCCCACATGAATTATTGCAAGGGCCTCCAAACCAGTTTCCCTGCTTTTATCCTTTGCCATCTATAATCTATTCTCAAAATTGCAATCAGAGCTCTCTTTTTACCATGTATGTCAAATCATGTCACTTTTCTGCTCCAAAATTTCTAGTGGCTTTCCAGTTCATACAGAGTAAAAAACCACAGTTGGATTGCTTACAAGGCCCTGCATGATAATTTCCTACTATTCTTATCACTCAGTACCAGCCACATCGTCTCCTTGCTATTACTCGAATATGACTGTATCAGAGACTATCTTTGCCCTTGAGCATCCTCTGCCTGGAATGTACTTTGCCCAGATATCCACATGCTTACTCTGTTATTCTCACTTCCTTTAAGTCTTTGTTCAAATGTTTCCTCTTCAATGATGCCTACTCCGATTATTTCATTTAAAATTGCCCTTCTTCTCACCTTACAATACGCTCTTTTCCCCTTTGATTTTCTCTATAGTACTTACCACCTTTTAGAATATTGTATGACTTCTCATTTATTGTTTTTTTTCTGGAATAATTTCTACTAGAATGTAAACATCACCAGGGCAGACTTTTTTCTGTTTTGCTCACGCTAGTATCCCTAGTACCTGAAAGTGGGACTAGCATATAAGAGGGGCTCAGTAATTTTTTGTTGATTGAAGGCTCTTGCTGACAGTGGTTGTTAATTTTCCTTGCTGGCTCTATTTCATTGTATGAATATAATAGCTCTATTATTTACTGATTCTGACTTCAGATAGTTGGATCATTTCCATTCCTTTCTCCTTCCCTTCCTCCCTCCTTCCCTTCTTTCATTCCTTTCTTCCTTTCTTCCTTTCACTACATAAATAAACCACCTATGATTGTTGTTCTGTGAGTATCTTGGTGCACAGGTGAACAGGTTTCTCTAGTTAAATTACCAGGGCACGGGGCTTGCAGATAATCAATTTATTAGATAATGCCACATTTTTTTCAATATGGTTCTATCAATTTACATTCTTGATTTCCTTGCTCTACATCTTTGCCAAAACTTAGTATATCAAGACACTTAATTTTTGCCCATCTGATAGGTATGTATTATTATCTCATTATTGTTTGTTTCTTTAATTACCTGTGAGATTGAGCCTTGTATCTGTAAATATAGGGTAGGTTATGTTGCAATAACAATCTCCAAATCTCATTGACTTAATGTAATAAATGTTTACCTCTCATTCATGAAACGTTCCCTATGGATAAAGGCAACTCTCCAGGCCAACTGTCCTCAATAACTCAGAGGTTGAAATTCAAGAGAATGTCCATTATTATGTAGCACACAGTTTGGAGCACCAGACAGTCCCACTTAGTGTAGTATGGAGAGAAAGCATGGGTAATAAATGAACTAGCTTTAAATGTCTCCACCTGAAAGTGATATGAATTATTGTCACTCACATTTTAGAAGCAAAAGCCACTGGTATGCCTAACTTCAAGGAGGTGGAAAAGGGTTAATCCTTTCTGTGCTGAAAGGAAAATAAATCTGGAAATACTGGTGAGTAGTAATATATTAGTTATCCATTTCAAATATCAAAAGTCAGTATATGTGTGAGTCTGTTTCTGTGCTCTGTATTATTCCTTTGGTCTCATTGTTTCGGAGAACAGAAATCGCACCTTTTCTATCAATTGCTGCTCTTGAACAGTGTTATATTTTAGCGTAAAGTTGTATGCAGAATATTAAAAAAATGGTTTCAGACTACTTCAGATCCTTACTGAAATTAAGCTCAAGAGCAGAGATGCCAATTTTAGTAATATATTTTAGTTGTTTTGGAATGAATCCCAGAAAATAGCAGAGGATAACTAAATAGATAAATCAAGAATTAAGAATTGACATACACACACAAAGTTGTATAAGAGATGTATACTATAAAGTGTCATTGAAACTTTTATTTCCTTTCAATAAAAAAAAAACAGCAAACAACTGTTGGTTTGTTTAAATAGGCAAGAGAATGTTAAAATAGCTTTTGTTGTTCCTTGTAATATAAGATTATTTGAGATTTAATCATTAGTAGGTAGAACAGGTTTAGAAATGTCTCTGGCTCTTTTTTGGTGGCTTTGATCTAAAATAAAATAATGTGTTCCCACCCAGCATCTGCTTTGTGTGCAGTTTGGGAACATGGAATGGATGTGAAGTATGCTTTCATGAACACATTTAAACTTATTTTCACTGCCTTTTTACCTTTGGGCTGGAAATGTCATCAGTGATTCAGGCATTTTGTCTTCCCTCATAGTCTTTGGTGAAGCAGGTGATCATCTCTTTGAAACAGATGCTCAAAATGTAAATTAGTTGTTGAATGAACAGAAAGTAGTAGAACTCAGACACCCTGGCTCCTAATTGCTTGTCGGCAAACAGCTGAAAATAGTGAATGGGTCTGACTGCTCAAGGTCTACAGCCAGTTCATTCATGGCTTGGGAGTGCCATCATGTTTGGCAGAAGTTCAATTCCTCTTTTGTAATGAACTTACCAAGAAAAAACAGTCATGTCTTCACACTTAGATCACTATTATATAACCAAATTGTTTGTATTTGTGAAGTGCAATATCTCTAGGAATTTTGGAAATAAAACTTAAAAATACCTAGGAAAAAAAAGGAATTGTCTTGGCAGATGCTGTACCACATTTCACATATTGAGAACTAAATGCACAAACTAAAAAAACATGTCCTGTGGAGTTAAAAATGAACAAGGGCTTACAGTCTGTTCTAATTCTTAAGATTTTAAGTGATTTACAAATTCCACTTTTAATTAAATCAGAAAGGCACAAATGTTCACCTACTAGTCAGAACCAGTACCTATAACCTTTTGGAGTTTCAATTCAAATTTGGTTTGCTTACAATTTGGAATATTCCTTCTCAAATACCTGAAAACTTTTGTGACTCAATCGCAATATTATATGTTGTCTTTTCACACACGTGATCTTATTAATCTTTAATTTTTTTAGCACTTTATAACATGTACATAAAACAAATGCACTGGTTGATAAATAATGTAGCAAATAATTACAACAGATAAGTAAAGCAAATACCCTGTTATTCACCACACAAGTAAGAGCATCTGTCAGTACCCAGAAACCTCTTGTTTGCTTTTTCCTGATCACAAAATTTTAGATGAATATAGGAGGCATTCTTTCATAAATTCATTTGCTTAACATCATTTGTGTTTCTTTGCTCCCCTTTGAAGTAAACACTTTATTCCCTGTCTCTAAATTATCTCTTCACATTGTCTTAAACCCATTGCTGTGAATCTTTTGTTTTTTTTCAATACTCAAACTACTCCCGTCAGGCACCACTGACGTCACCTTTCCTAAATCCATTAACTACTGAGATCAGTGTTGATCTTACTTCCCCTGTTGGTAGCATTGCCACAGTTTGCAACTCTGCTCCCTGTAATATTTCCTCATTGACTTCCAGGGCATCGTGCACCCTTGGTTTTCTTCTTTCACTGGCTGCTCCTTCTGTCTCCTTTGATGGTGTCTCCTCTTTTCTTGAAGGTTTTAAGCTTAGAATGCCTTAAGGTTTAGTTCTTGGGTGATATTTTCTATCTACATTCTTTGATGATTTCATGTACTCTGATTTTTTTTTCTGCAACCTCTGTGTCTATATCCTCATGACTCCAAAATGGTAGCTCAAGCCTGGACTTCTCTCTATAAACTTCAGATCTCTATATCCAGCTGCCTGTTTACCATTCCCATTGGATGTCCAGTAGACATCTCGGTCCATATACTCCAAATGGAATCTTCATCTTGCCTAAGCCCACTCTACCTGCAGTCTTCCCCATCTCTGTCTTTCAAGTTGCTCAGGCCTGAAATCTTGGATTCATCCTAATTTCTCCTATCCCCTCACACCTCAGATGTTATGTGTCAGGAAAGACTCTTTTGTTCTACCTTGGAAGTAAATCCAGTATATAATTACTCTCATCACCTCTGTGGTTGCTACCCTGGTCTGAGCTACCATCATATCCCACATGAATTATTGCAAGGGCCTCCAAACCAGTTTCCCTGCTTTTATCCTTTGCCATCTATAATCTATTCTCAAAATTGCAATCAGAGCTCTCTTTTTACCATGTATGTCAAATCATGTCACTTTTCTGCTCCAAAATTTCTAGTGGCTTTCCAGTTCATACAGAGTAAAAAACCACAGTTGGATTGCTTACAAGGCCCTGCATGATAATTTCCTACTATTCTTATCACTCAGTACCAGCCACATCGTCTCCTTGCTATTACTCGAATATGACTGTATCAGAGACTATCTTTGCCCTTGAGCATCCTCTGCCTGGAATGTACTTTGCCCAGATATCCACATGCTTACTCTGTTATTCTCACTTCCTTTAAGTCTTTGTTCAAATGTTTCCTCTTCAATGATGCCTACTCCGATTATTTCATTTAAAATTGCCCTTCTTCTCACCTTACAATACGCTCTTTTCCCCTTTGATTTTCTCTATAGTACTTACCACCTTTTAGAATATTGTATGACTTCTCATTTATTGTTTTTTTTCTGGAATAATTTCTACTAGAATGTAAACATCACCAGGGCAGACTTTTTTCTGTTTTGCTCACTCTAGTATCCCTAGTACCTGAAAGTGGGACTAGCATATAAGAGGGGCTCAGTAATTTTTTGTTGATTGAAGGCTCTTGCTGACAGTGGTTGTTAATTTTCCTTGCTGGCTCTATTTCATTGTATGAATATAATAGCTCTATTATTTACTGATTCTGACTTCAGATAGTTGGATCATTTCCATTCCTTTCTCCTTCCCTTCCTCCCTCCTTCCCTTCTTTCATTCCTTTCTTCCTTTCTTCCTTTCACTACATAAATAAACCACCTATGATTGTTGTTCTGTGAGTATCTTGGTGCACAGGTGAACAGGTTTCTCTAGTTAAATTACCAGGGCACGGGGCTTGCAGATAATCAATTTATTAGATAATGCCACATTTTTTTCAATATGGTTCTATCAATTTACATTCTTGATTTCCTTGCTCTACATCTTTGCCAAAACTTAGTATATCAAGACACTTAATTTTTGCCCATCTGATAGGTATGTATTATTATCTCATTATTGTTTGTTTCTTTAATTACCTGTGAGATTGAGCCTTGTATCTGTAAATATAGGGTAGGTTATGTTGCAATAACAATCTCCAAATCTCATTGACTTAATGTAATAAATGTTTACCTCTCATTCATGAAACGTTCCCTATGGATAAAGGCAACTCTCCAGGCCAACTGTCCTCAATAACTCAGAGGTTGAAATTCAAGAGAATGTCCATTATTATGTAGCACACAGTTTGGAGCACCAGACAGTCCCACTTAGTGTAGTATGGAGAGAAAGCATGGGTAATAAATGAACTAGCTTTAAATGTCTCCACCTGAAAGTGATATGAATTATTGTCACTCACATTTTAGAAGCAAAAGCCACTGGTATGCCTAACTTCAAGGAGGTGGAAAAGGGTTAATCCTTTCTGTGCTGAAAGGAAAATAAATCTGGAAATACTGGTGAGTAGTAATATATTAGTTATCCATTTCAAATATCAAAAGTCAGTATATGTGTGAGTCTGTTTCTGTGCTCTGTATTATTCCTTTGGTCTCTGTATCTTTGCACAGACCACATTGCCATAATTATTATAGATTTAAATTAAGTCTTGCTGTTTGGTAAGTGGAGGAGTAAATCCTCCCACTCTGTGCAATTTTCAGGAGTGCTAGGGCATCCCTTGGCCCTTTGCCTTTTCATATATATTTTTTGAATCAGCATGTCAAGTTCTAAAAATTTTTTTAGAAATTTAATGGAGATTGTATTGAGAATGTTTTGAGTCCATAAACAATTAAAAGGAAATTGAAATCTTTTACATATTCAGTCCTAAAATCCATGATTATCTCTCAACATGGTTAGGTTTTCTCTAATATAAGAAATGTAAACATTTTATGATTTTTTCCTTAGGAGTTCTTGAACATCTTATTAGGTTTGTTCACAGGAACTACAAAATTATTTTACACATATCTTTTAAAAATATTCATGGTCACTTAATGTCATATAGAAATAAACTTGACCTTTGAAGTATTTTACAAATAACGGCTTAATGGATTATAATTCACATGTTATAAAGTTCATCTTTTTATAGTATGTAGTTCACTGGTTTTTAGTGCATTAACAGATTTGTGCAGCCATCACCACTATCTAATTTCAGAACAATTTTATCACTTTCCCAAGAAACTCCATGCCCATTAGCAGTCATTCTCCATTCCCCCTCCTCCCATCCCTGAAACCACTGATTTATTTTCTGTATCTGATCAGTTTGCCTATTCCGGATATTCATAGAAATAAAATCATGGAGGCCTTTAGTGGCAGAGCCCTTTCACTTAGCATAGTGCTTCAATAGTCATTCATGCTGTAGCATGGATCAGTACTTCAGTCTCTTTTTGACCAAATAATATTCCATTATATGGATATACTGCTTTTTGCTTATTCATTCATTAGTTGATGGACATTTGAGTCATTTCCACTTTTTG